TGTCGGAAGCATGAAGAAGCCCGTGCACGATCTTTGCAACAGAAATGAAACTTTTATCATTTTTCCAGAAAAGCGCACTTTCACAGAGTCTGTAAAGATATGCGATTTATTTCGAACGAAGATCTACGCTCCCGCAAATACCGAAATAAACAAGAAGCTGAATGCTACAATGTGGAGAGAAGGATTCTGTGCCGGAACCATTAACATGTGGGTGGGAGTGTCAGATGAAATGGAGGAGGGAGTCTGGAGGAGGTTTTCGGATTCCAAAGTCATAACGGATATCAACTTCGCAGCTGGGCAGCCGGATAACTCAAGGGAAGAAAACTGCATGGCCATGTCAGGAGGCGAAGGAGTCTGGGCAGATTATGGCTGTAGAGAGAAAAGCATTGCCTGTGTCCCCTGCGCAGAACGCATCAGCATACCTTTGTACATGCGAGGAATCTGCACAGAAATGAGAACTGAGACCATGTTTGAAGTCCTCGGGTACGCCTCGAGCAGACCTTTCTTCCATGGGTTCCATGGCTACATGCTCATCTCCGAGGGAAAGGACTGGCACCTTCTCGACACCGTTGGGAATCAGAGTCTTGCTCGACTGACTCTGCCTTCGAGGAATGTGTACCCCATTGGAAAGCACCAATGGGCACTCGCAAGCCCCATCTGTGACCAGCCTGTCGGTAGTGAACTCGTCATCTCACTGTCCACTTGTGAGACGGGGGAATACATGTGTGACAGTGGGCAGTGCATTGACGTCGATGCTCGCTGTGATGCCAAAGACGACTGTGCTGACCAGACGGACGAAGACAACTGTTCCGTCTTGAATGTCCCCGAAAACTATAGAAACTTCAAGCCTCCAAAGAATGCGGTGAACCCAGAAGTTGCCTTACCGCTCGATCTGCAATTCGACTTTCTGCGCATCTTGAAAATCGAAGATGTCCAACAAGCCATCCATCTCGAATTCATTCTGTCGATCAGCTGGTTCGATTCTAGACTCAGGTACCTGAACCTTCGCGAAGATATCCATGCGAATAAGCTATCTCCGGCTGAGAAGGAGACCATCTGGAGACCACGGCTCGAATTCCCCAACGTTCAGGACGGAGAGCTGAAGTTACTCCGTGATGACGTCTTTGTCAAGAAACTCAACGCTTCGCTCCCGTTTGACTTCAATGCTGTTGGAATGGGTGAGTCACCAATGAATTTTGTTATCATTACGCCATATGTATAGTCACAACTACTCAATTACATGAATGAAGGCGATGCACTGAAATACATGAAATTTCAGTCTTTAGAATTCTTAATCTCTTTGTTATTTCGTTCTCTCCCCCCCCCCTCTCTCTCTCTCAATCATCGTCTCTCTCTCTCTCTCTCTCTCTCTTTCTCTCTCAATCACTCACCGTCTTTCTCTCTCTCTCTCTCTCTCTCTCTCAATCACTCACCGTCTCTCTCTCTCTCTCTCTTTCTCTCTCAATCACTCACCGTCTCTCTCTCTCTCTCTCTCTCTCTCTCTCTCTCAATCACTCACCGTCTCTCTCTCTCTCTTTCTCTCGCTGTCTTTAGGTCTTGTTAATAGATTAATGTGTAATATCCGTCTTCCCATCTAAACATGTGTATGTGTATATGTATGTGTATATATATACACACATACCTCCCAGTCCTTGTCTGATAACACAGAATCCGTTGCAGATAACGTGTACAGCGGCGAATCAGCTCTTCTCGTGCAAGTGCAACACTACAGCGGTAGTTTCGTCTGTCGTTTCAATGTGTTTTACTATCCCTTCGACGCTCAGTACTGTAGCGTCTCCCTTCAGGTCTCCTCGGTGAGCAAGGACCTCGTGAGTCTGAGCGAAGAAAGGGCCAAAGTGATGTCCAGTGAAGACAGTACATTGCCAACCTACACCATCGGGAACTTTTCGTCGGAGAGTAGTAGCAATTTAGGTCGCGAGAGTGGAATGAAGGTGTGTTTTTGGAATATTCTTGGCGCTTCTGTGTCTGTGTCTCTTTTTTTTCTCTATCTCCAACATTGAAGATAACTTGCTTTGCTTGTTTGTTTGTTTGACTGTCTGTCTGTCTGTCTCTGTCTCTCTCTCTCTGTCTATCTATCTATATATCTATCCATCCATCTATCTTTCCCTCTCTAACATCATGGATAACAGTTACCACCAGATCTTATTACTGCTAGTCATGCGTGGCGTCGATACCAGCAGTCATGCTATTATCACTGAACCAAGTAAAGGAACATAGGAACAAAAAAAAGAGAGAAAAAAAAGAAAGAAAGTGAACCCTTGCCCTTACTCTCTATCTCTTGATAATTATCTCTCCTCCATTTCAGATCAAGTACACGCTGACCCGAAGATACACTCTCATAGTCCTCTCCGTCTACATGCCTTCATCCATGTTACTTCTCATTGGCTATTCAACACTGTATGTTAAAGTGGAATTGTTGCAGGTAAGTTATTGACCAACTATGTACTATGAACGTATATATATATATATATATATATAT